CGGATGCCCCCTCTTTTCTATAACATATGACGCCCCAGTACATTACATTACATGTCATTTGTTAGATGCTTTTATCCAAAGCGACTTACATACATTCAGTACTGTGGACAATCCCCACAGGAGCAATTTGGGGTGAAGTGTCTTGCCCAGGGACACAACGACATGCTGACTGCAGTGGCACTCAAACTTGGTACCCCCTGATTCGAAGTCCAGCACTCTATCCACCGAGCCACAGCCGCCCAGTAGAAGAGGCAATCACTACAATAACAATTTTATGTAATACATAAATACACATTCCTTAAAGACAGCCACTATTTTATTTAGGTTCTGAAACTAACATTTTAAAAATTGCTCAAATAAGCCACTACTGTTTACAGAGCAACAAGGTAACATCTTTCCATTACATTTTTTGCTGATGCTTTTATTCTTGAAATTGCTTGTTTTGTCCAACCTGATCCAAAACCCCAAATATATGTTATTTACAGGAATTATAAGACAGTAAAGAACAGCAAAGAAGTGGGAACTTTCCGAGGCTTGAACCTTAAGTACCTTAAAATGATTATAACTAAAATGTGATACTTTACATTTTTTGACAATGATGATGTCTATCAACCCTGCATATTACCCAGCAGCTGCTTTAAACATGTGTTAACAACCCGCCAACAGTAAGCTCTCTCCAACTAAACTCCAATAATATCAAAGGATTTGAGGTGAAAATAGGTAAACATGTAAATGGATGAGATGCAACATATACTAAAAACATAGAAAAAAACGATTTAAAAAGGGTTTACTTACACTAAATATTTTCAGAGAATCATGGCTTTTTAGACATATTCTAAGATACGATTAGTTCTGTGTTTTTTTTTAAATAACATAATCTGATGATTTTTTAAAAACATATCTAACTTTTTGCCACCATTTCTATGGTAACATTTTCTATATATATATATATATATACACAAAAGAAAATTCCTTGTATGTGTAAACCTACTTGGTAATAAAAACGATTCTGATTCTGCATGTATTATGGTAAGATTTCAACGTACAGATTAGACATGTCTGAATTTGAGGAAAAGCAATCCCCTTTCAGCTCAACGGGGTTAGCAATACAATCTTATAATAAAATTACCAATACTTATTTTGCCTCATATAAGCATCAGACAAAACAAAACAAAAAATATCTTCACCGCTTCCCCTTTCTGTCTGACGGTATACAGTAGCTGTTGTCTATGTTCTCTTCAAAGTCCCCGGTCTCTTTTGAAAAACAAAGTAATATTACTTGGACGGTTGTTGCCGGTGAACCACTGCTTTGATTGGTTAATCTGTTATTTTGGTGGACTAAAGGGTTTCCAAAGTCACACGGCAACTGACACGGTTAACGGCTTTGGATTCCTGTCAGAAAGGGCTGTCTAACAGAAAAGAAAAGCTGAAAAACTACAGTCTTTACTTAAATTGGTTGAATATCTTTTAAGGTAGGCATTGGTAATACATTGCTTAGATCCTGAGCCTTAACTCCTGTCTATTTCTCCAAACTGGGTGCATGCTGACCGCCATCCACTCTACGTGTAACCCATTTCAAACAATCCGAGTTATCCCTTTAACGTGTTTATCAGCTTATCCAGATAAGATATCCAGTCACAAATCTCTAATGTAAACAGAATCTAACTCACCATCCTAATTGCTAAAGGTTGCAACACGACCAAACAAATTCCCAGTACAGCCATATATTCAGAACAAAGATGAACACACTGCAGTTACAAAGCCATAATCCACTTCAGTATAATAAGAGTTGACAATGGAAAGTTAAGGTTGAAAATAACTGACATATATAAGATAATCACACAGTGAATGTTTATCCCGCTGGAGATTTTGCTGTGCCACCAGATATATCAACAATTAAGCTGTCAAATAAAATGTTATCAATATAGATAAGAGCTCAATTATGAAAAAGGACCTATGTGGTTCGAAAAATGAAGTTTCTTATAAGGATGTTCTGGTGATTGTGCGGGGATAAACGCACTGCAGTCAGAATTTCAAAATTACATTAAATATGATGTGTGTCCATGCCTCTATGATTATAGCCATGATGGGGCGAGCTACTGTCATCAAAGGGGGGAAATGCCAGAAGAGGAGGGGAGGCTTCCTGTTGGTAAACATCCTCGCAGATTAAGTGTACAATTAAAAAGGGTGTTGTGTGTAAACAGGAGACTTTAAACTGAGAAGCATGGAACTTGGAGGCAAAATACCTTTTTTTCTAGTTCTGTATGATCACAAAAATGGTAATCACGAAAAGCTGGGTTGGTTTAAATACACACACCTGGAAAAAAATGATATTTGGAGTAATTAAACTGAAAAAGTGGTTTAATGTGGCAAAGCAATAAGACAGAATATGTGGAAATATGGGCGACTGTGGAAAGGTACTCAATTTCACTTAAACATTTTATTTTCAAAAGATAAAAAAAGAAAAATGGAGAAGGAAGAAAAGCACATTTATTTTATGTCTCCTATTTTCATCACGGTTCTAAAGTAATAACGTTGGATGTTTCTATGTGAATATTGAGAGAAAGTAATAATGTTAAGGACTGATATTGTTTCAGGGGTGCATTGGTAAATTGTTGGTTTATACCTGTGTTTGGTTTGAAGGCGATTTGAAACGGCTGTTTTCTGTTTGTATTTTGTGAGACAATAATAAAACATGTCTAAAAATGCAGCTGGTTGGTTGGTTACACGATGTCACAACTTTAAAATATAAACCCCTTATCTGAAAGATGACGATGCTCAACAACACAATCTTCAGCGACACTGGCGTTGAATTTGGATCATGTCTTTGACCAATATCTTTTTTTTTCTCTGGGAGAAAACTCAAATCGTCTCCTTCAGGATATTACAAATGTCGCTCCCTGCTTGTCTCTCCACAGCAGAGTTATAAATACATATACCAGCATGACCTGCTGCTGGTCTGGATGAACTTTATATCTAATTGATCAGAGCTACCACACACACAAATATGAAACAAACCATTTCCAGCTGCCTGGCTAAAGGAGGGGGTCCATCTGCTTCTCACCAAAGCCTCACAGCAGATAAAGATCTGATTTTTAAAAACAGACAGGACGAGGTGAGATGGCGAGAGCAGGATGGAGATAGTGGGACATTCAAAGTGGATGCAGAAGGAATCTGGAGAGCTGAGAGATGAGAAGGAGCTGGGAAGAGTGGGAGTAAAGAGGAGAGAACAGGACTTGGCATGGTTTGAAGCGTTGGTTGTCTGTGGTGAGGTGTTGGTTTTTTCCCCCTTCTCCAAAGAGACATTGACTGAGCTCAGGCGTGGGTGTGTTGTTCTAGATATTCTCATCATTTATTTTTTCATCCATTTAAACTGTTATGACTAAACATGCTCACAATATCCTGTCACTTTCTATTAGTCACAGCATATTTGTAGATGTAAATAGACTGACACCATCGAAAGTTGAAAAATAAATGGAGAGATTACCTCATCAAGTGGAATTTCTGAGGGTGGGCAGGGTGTTAGAGTTATTTCCTAAAATAATGGCATATTGATTACTTTACTGGTCATGTCAGGTTTGAAAACGTAATGCATAGCATCTCTGTGGGATTCATGTCTATCCACATTGATGCATCTCTCCTCCAGCAGGGCAGATCAACATTTAGTGTACCATCTACTTGATTAATCAATGATTAATCAAAAATAGGCGTGGTTTTGTCGAGGACCCAATGATAACACTGCAATAAAACCAGCGTTACATCATATCCTCACATATGGTTACACATAGAGACTAATTAAACCCAACACAACTCAAAACCGAGGATGAAATCAACACATATCTAAATCCAAATCAAACAAACTAGAACATGTAATCAATTTGAGCTTCCTCGGATAAAATTCGGCTTTGAATCATTGCAGCGAACACGAGCATGTTGGGCTCCCGAAAGCAAATGAGGCGACTTAATTGCTGAACAACCTGTTAATCCTCGGAAGTGAAACAGCCTCACCGTCCTCGAAACGCCTTTTCCCCATAAATGCACATTAGTTTGCGCAGTCTTTTTTGTTTTCCTGTCACGATATTGCCTCCATTTCTGCTGTTTGCATCTTACCTGTGTGTGTGGATGATGGTCGAACATGTCCATTTGGATCTCCTGGGTTGAGGTCGAAGGCGTCCTGGACATACTACTTTTCTGTACCATTGATTTAACTTTTTAAAATCTATTTTCAGTTTCGTGTGTTTATGATGCTGAGGACCAACACATTTTTTTCCAGGGAGTGATGAGTCGCTGATCTGAGCTGGTTGGTAAAAATAATGGCAACAGCTGCCTTCCTCCAGCCTATAGCGTTACACACTTGCGCACCAGGCTTTTACACTAGAGTCAAGTCAACGGAATCATGCACTGGCACATCCGGCTACAGCTATCAAAATAAAAATATTTAGCATTGTAAACTCAATAGCTGAGAAACTGTCAAGGTGTAGCCTACTATTGAACGTGTAATTATTTGTTATAGCCTAAATATAATCATTTAAAAAACGTCAGCATGTTTATGTTAACCTTTAAATAGAATACTGCTTTATTTAATGCAGATCATTACTCCCTGTAACTTCAAGATTGTTTCATTGTAACTGGTGAAATGTTCTCTATTTTCTTATTTTTTGCAAACAAATAAATAGAAGACTACCAACAAGTTGCCTCATGTTTAAATATATCATAATATTTGCCTATTGTCACTATGTGGAGTTTACTTTACCACGAGAGGTGTACACAAAAATATACTGACTCATTAACATCAAACATTTAACAATTTAGAGTCTTCAGTTTCACAAATAATTTTTTGTTTTAATATTATTTGTGTGAGGAAACTAAACCAACCACTTATGTCACTCTTGTTTCTTTTCATGATATTGAATTGATTTACAGGGCTTTAACTAAAAATAATTTACATCAACAAAAAGTCAGCAGACTACTTAATATAATATAAAACAGAGAAAAGCGGGAAATCTCTACGTTTCAGAGGGCGAAAACTGAATTTTATTTGACGATTGCATGATAAATTACTTTTACAGTGAATTATTTGTTGCAGATTATATACATATACTTACACATTTCAAGAATCATTGGGACTAATCCTATTCCTTTTTTGAATTATATAACTTACCATGATTTAAGTTATCACTGCTAGGGCTCGTGACACTAAGTAATAATGACATCATATCAAAAGTAATGGAACCATTACAACCAGAACAGTTGTGTCAAAAGTCAAATCGATAGTCTTCTAACAGACATGCTTTAATTTTGAAGGCAGATTCCTCTTACTACCGGAATGAGTCAGTCTTCCTCTGCCTATCTTGACGCTGGTTCTGTCTCCTGTGTGCGCTCCATGGACTCCAGCTGGGAGTCGAGGTCCACACCCCGCTGAACAGACCCCACCTTCACTTATCGATTGATGAAAGAACAACAGAGCAGCCGTGGTGATGGAGGTAGGCCTACAAAGACCATCAGGCCAAGCCGCTTGTCACCACATTGGGAATCCAGAAACTCGAGGTCCTAGGGGCTTTAATGGGGGGGAGAACAAATTCACAGTTAGTTTGTGGCAGCAGTGGAGAGGTTCAGTCAATCAAGGCTCATTCTGAAGTGGCCCGGAGAAAAACACCCAAACTCCAAGGACCCTGCACTATAACTGACATTTTGACCCAGAGGGGGCCTGAGTTTTTTTTTTAGCAGGGGCAGACATTACTGGGTCCCTTTAACATGTCAAAAATGAGGAGCTGTTTTCAGGGGCCACAGATTTTCTGACAGTGCTTTTGTGGCTCAAGACAGCAAACATAACTTTTGGTTACTGTGATAATATATCAATGTAATAACATTAACATCAAAAGTTAATTATAGATGCAATCAGATGTATCAGTAGTCATCTAGGGAGCATTGATGGTTATCCTCTTTAAAAAATGAAAGGAAAGAAACAGATGATATTAGAGTCACTGTGACTCTCTGCAGCAGCTGGTCGACATCTTCCTCCAAGAAAAAACATAATGTGCAGCAGGGGGGTGCAGGGTTGAGTTTGTCCTCAGCTGCTCATTTGATGTTCCTCTTCTTTGCTGCTACTAAAGAAAAATAAGTGGATAAACAGTCCTTTGGCATTTAGCTGATGCTCTTCTTTGCAACTTCTTGTAATAGATTAAACTCAGGTTTCAGGATGGGAAATAGAACAAGAAAAATGCAAGGGTCAAGACTATGAAATAAATATGCTTCAATATTGTATTTATTCTCGCATCTTTATTGTTGATTTTGTCTCCTTAGGTCATAATGCTTTGATGAATACTTACCATGCAGTGTGAGTAAGCAAGTAAGCAGAACTTTATTTGTATACCACATTTGGTTCCAGGTGCATGATGCATGAGCAACCCTGGTAATGCAGCCACATACACCATACACATAAAGATAAACATAAAGATAAACATATGACATCATGAGTAGAAATGATTACAACAGTCACATAAATTATACAGATTTAGAACAAAATATATATGCATATATTTATATATTAAAAATAAGATCAGTAGGAATTTTTAAAAGAAACCAAAATAATACCAATAGTTGACTGATCAACATTTTAAAAAAGTTACTTGAGTTAAAATCAAATCAAATACTTGTTCATAATTCAATGAAGTCACAACACCTTGGTAAAGGTCAGCAGCACAGTGACATATGAATGAATTCAGCTTTAAAGGGACTTGCAGTTATGATTGTTGTAGATATTTGGCTCAATCCACAACTACAACACACCTCTGAAGTGTTGAATCAATCACTATTCAACTTTAAGATCTGTTCCAATGAAAGCCAAATAAGCAACATGAAAAATGTGTGCAGTAGCTAATTTGTTTTCGCCTGCACATGCCTAAACCCTAATGTGATGCTATTTGTACCTCAGTTAACACTACAGTTTCTCGATCATATTGAGCGTGTTTCTGAGTATCCTGGGAATGTGTTGCACATATACGAACATATTCAGTTCTTTTTGTAAACCTGATTACGCTAGCTTGAGTGTTCAAATAGACACTATGACACTTTGGTAGTGGCCCCTGCTTATAGTCTGCTTGTGGGTGCTGCATCAGCTGAATGTGCTTCTGTTGTTTTCAAGGCATCAAAGGAGTCTGATGGCAGTCCCTGAGCCACATCTGGAGCACCTGGGCCCGATGCAACACAGGACTTAAAAGCCCCAGCCTCCAGTGGCTTCATCTCTCCCCTGCCAGCGCACGCTACCCCTTTTGCTTGATTTATCCATTTTCGAAATCCCCATTAGCTGAGACATTGGGGACTGCTAATCTTCCTGGGGTCCGTAACAGGACGGGACACATTATATATATGACATGACATACAAGATGCACCATTCAATTATTATCATCAACCAAGATTTATGTAATCAGTGAAAACATACATATTTAGGTAATTTGCATTCATGATTCTTCAAAGAGGAATACAAATGCAATAAAGTTAAGTGATCCATCTCTTCAGTAGACATATAGTTCAACCTCTTTAAGGTTTAAATACTTTTGATCACTCATGCAGCGGCACATTTCTGTGCAAAGAGGAGAGCAGTGTCTGTTTAAGCTGTGGTAGGAGGTGATCCGGTACTTTAGTCAAATACTTTGTCCTGAGCTGATGATTTCAGTTGGTATTTCTGAGTTACCTGAGGTGAAGAAGTGCCACTCTTGCACCCACATTGTTGAGCGTGCAGTGTTGCCATGGCGATGGGGTGCTGCAGGAGAGCCAAGGATGCAACACTGTCAGGTGTTAATCCTATTTTAGCAGCCAACTCACATTTTATTTTCAATACAGGCCATTTGAAAGCCTAATATTTAATTGTTCTAATCTCTTTATTTATTAAAAAGGTGTAATTCACACTCTTATAGGCTGAATTTTACAATAAATATTTAAAGTTCAGACTCTAAATGTCTTTTTGTCTTATCTTTACTTTCTTGTTAGATAGCACCCTATATTTCCATAACAGTATCGAGTTAGTTCAAATGTATGGTAAAAATCTAGTGCTTAACATCTATTTGTCCTTTTCCAATGTTTGAACAGACCTGTGTTTGGTTTTGATCTACTGTGTTTTTAGAAAGCCGTTTAAGTTGCATGTCCTTTTTTTGTGTTTGCTCTTATTTTGGAAAGTTGTTTTTTAACACCTTAGCATATCGGCATATTATGGATTTCAAATGTATTTGTTTTTAACATGTGTATTTATGAATTTGTACACAACTTTTTCTTAAACTACATTTTAACTGGCATATCATAATATGCAGTTATGCTATTTTCTCAGTCAGGAAGGCATTTAGCATCAATTTATGATGGTAAACAAACACAGATTACAATATAATAATAAAATAACCCTCTATTGGTATTGTTTATTGAGTTGCATCATTGTTAGTTATACTGTTGTGTTTTTATTTACATTGTGCAACCTTATCATCTCCTTTTGAAGGTTGTTGAAGGCTTTACGTCAAGTATTACACAAAAAAAGGGTAAATTTAGAAATATTATATTATCATTTAAGAATATTGGCCCTCGTTGTACAAATGCATTGTATAAAACATATGCCGACTGTAAATATTCCTGATAACGTGTAATGTTATGTTTTTTAGTTTAAACTGGAAACTGGATTCAACAGCGTCCTCATGTGTTCGACAGCAGAATGCACCCAACCTTACCCATAATGCACTGTAAAAACACTGATCTGTACCATTCTATTTAAGAGGGGTGATAATAGATTTCAAATCTCCACATTTCCATTGTCGGTATCCTTTTTCACCAATCTTATCTATACGTAAGTGCAAACATTTGCACTACTTCTAATGAAAACATTATTTATAATGCCATTTGTAGTCTAGGTTAACACAGAGATGTTTCGCGTTCAGAGATGGACTCTCCTCCATAATGGTAGCTTCCAGTCCGTCTCTCAAGCCTTCCTTTTCCCACTGAAGTAGCAGCCATGAGGTAGGAACATTGCCGAATGAACAAAAAAACGAATCGTTTAACTGTTAAAATGCACATATGTAAACCCCATATCAATAAAATAAGACACATGCATTCCCTCTTCATCGTCAGATAAAGCTTTGGTGTAATTATCAAAACAGAAACCTATATTTTAACGCGGCCTTGTGTAACACGTTGTAGCTGACTGAGAAGCCATGTTGTAAAGTCGGTTAGCTGTCAGCTGCGCGGCTAACGGCGATTTTAGCCACTGGCATATTTCATCGACAGTCATGAAACCTTTCAATGTTGACATACGTTTCATACACAAAATAAAGCAGTATACGATAATGTAACTATTGGGTATCTAACCTGAGTTATGTGTGTGTGCTCAGGCTCCAGAAGAGGCTTGCTTCGAGCGTCCTTCGCTGCGGCAAGAAGAAAGTGTGGCTGGATCCCAACGAGACCAATGAGATCGCCAACGCCAACTCTCGTAAGTAAAGCAACAAGTCACCATTTTAGTTTGCTAGTCGTATTATATGTTTCACCATTTAGGCCTACTGAAAATCTGAGGTGACCTGTCTTAATAAATGCATGTTCCCGGTGTTACATGGTGCGAATACAGATTTAAATGCAGTAAACAAAACGGTACTCAAGTCAAAGTTTTGACGAGTAAAGAAGTAGTCACTAACGCTAACATCATTTAACAGGAGCTCAAAAAGTAATAACATACCTAAAGTGTACTTTAATAGATATTATATTGCTTTATCCAGAACCAGACAAATGGTTCAAAAATAACGTGTCAACCTTTGGGTGGCTGGTCATAATTTGCGCTAGAGAAACATACATTCCTGAAAACATTAAACCATATTATGAACACATAAAAACTCAATAACATGGGACCCTCTTAACATGAAAACAGTACTGTTTCAATTTGATATATCGAGATTTCTCCGATAACTAAATGCACTAAATTGCGTCTCCATGCCTCTTAAAGGTTAAAGTATTTTACAAGTTTTGCTGATAGTTTTAAAATGATGTACTCCTGATTGTTAAAATTAACTAATTCCTAAAAAATGCAACATAATGAGCAACGTAACATACTTTTTTCTCTTTCCTGATGATGAATCGCTGCATCCCAGTAGCTCACTTGTTTCCTTCTGTCTTCAGGCCAGCAGATCCGTAAACTGGTGAAGGATGGTCTTATCATTCGCAAACCTGTTACGGTCCACTCCCGTGCCCGCTGCCGCAAGAACACGCTGGCACGTCGGAAGGGGAGACACATGGGAACTGGTGAGTTTAAATCGCCATGTTATACTTTGCAGAGGAAAGTCATTCACCAGGCTTTCTGTTTACGTTATGATTTGATTACATTTCTGAATTAATTAGCTGTGCAATGTTTTTAATATTTAATAGCAAGTCTTGTGGAATGATTGTTTTGTCAGACTTCTTAATATTATGATAGTGACGGTAACTTGACTGGACTTAATCCCCTTTTCCAGGTAAGAGAAAGGGTACAGCCAACGCTCGTATGCCAGAGAAGTTGTGCTGGATGCGCCGCATGAGGATCCTGCGTCGTCTTCTGCGTCGCTACAGGGAGGCCAAGAAGATCGACAGGCATATGTAGGTTCAGGACATCTTCACTAGTTGTGTCTGCCTTTATTGATGTGGCCAGTTTTTTGTCATGTCTTGTTATTTTAGAGTCCAAGGTTGTTGGCTCAATATTTCTAAAATGGCTCGTATACATCTGGTTTTGTTTAATCCGCTTTTTCTTGTGATAGCAATGTGAAATAGATTTTGGACATGGGATTAAACCTGTTTCAAAACAGTACTGCAACAAAGGAATGTAGAAGCTCGTTGTTTTGTTGTTGTTGTACCATGGTATTCAATTGATATAACAAATTGTCAAATGTTCTTGGTATTGGTATCCACTACTAATCTCTGTAATCATGACATTCTGCTGTGATCCTGGGCCTATGTTACACTAACCATTGCTCTGAAAGTGTTGGCAAATCATGAGATGAGCTCAGTAAAGCTCGTTGAAAATGCTGATATTACACACAAGCCCACATAAAATATTTGGTGCACCTGACAACCCTTTTGTAATCAGTTTGTGTATTATTTTAATATTTGTTTTTCCTCGCTTTCTCTCAGGTACCACAGCCTCTATCTGAGGGCCAAGGGTAACGTGTTCAAGAACAAGCGCATCCTTATGGAACACATCCACAAACTGAAGGCAGACAAGGCTCGCAGAAAGCTCCTGTCGTAAGTCTTAAACCATCCCTGTGTTGTTTTTCCTGTCCACAGAAAAGCTGCATTTATTCTGAAAGTGTTAGGATAAAAAGTTATGCAGTAAGGATTATACCATCAACTCAATTTGTTGATGTTAAAATGTATCGTTACATACTAACATCTTTCTGCCTATCTACAGCGATCAGGCCGAGGCTCGTCGTAACAAGACGAAGGAGGCCCGCAAGCGCAGAGAGGAGCGTCTCCAGATCAAGAAGGAGGAGTTCATCAAGACCTTGGAGGAGGAGACCAAGAAGTAATGTGGATCCGTCAATCCTGCCTGACACTGCCACCTGTCAAGTGTTGACAATAAAAGTGTACATAAAAACACAGATGATCATGTGTACTTTCTTTCCTCATTAAGTGAATACCTGATTAGCGGGAGCAAATAGTTTGAAAAGCTGGAAGGCTGACATCCACAGTAATCATGAGATGAATGAGACAATCATAAATTAGTTTTAGAAAATCTAATTTTAATTTGCTTTGTTTTGCTATAAATACCTAATTTACAGCTTATAAAAATCTAATTTTAGTGTAATAAAAAGTTATATTTTGGCCACCTGGAATAAATCTAATATTTAATCAGAGCTGTGTTCTTAGTCCGTATTGACTCTAATGTTTACCTCCTAATATCTACTGTTCAGCAGCTAGTCACTAATTGTGTCTGGTTCATTTGGTGCATACTATGTCGTTTTCAATGGATCTTCCACTGAAACCGGCTGTCTTCTATATCTTAAAGGTCCCATGTCATGCTTATCTGGTTATTACCCGTACCCAGGCGCGTCGTCTGGCAAGCCCCGGATGTTTTTTCTTTAGCCCCGGACAATTCTCCCTTAATAATATAATACATTAACCGTGCTTTGCCTGAACCTCATCATGACACTAGAGAGGATGGCAGGATTGTAATTTCCCTTGTTCAGTGAATGCAACAGAGGCAAGACACCAGACCAATCACCAGAGAGTTGCATGGAAATAAACGTCTCTTATTTGCTGACAGGTACCTATCCTGTGTCAATGGCCCCGTCTCAGGTCGGTTAAATGAAATCCTTGCTTCCCTCACTTGCGTCGTTTCCCTGTGTTTAGTCCCTCCCTC